GACCTATACAATTTTTTTCCTTTTGATTTTTTACCTGGATTACTGAGATGCATCGGGACGCTGATAAATAGTATTGTAATAATATTTCATAATCAATAGTAATAGTAGTTAAAATGAACTAATTTATGCCCAGTTTTTTCCCACACATGCTAATGTTAATAAGTACTAAATAATACTAATATCTTTTTAAAAAGAAAAACTGCTCGTGCTGAAATGGGCGAGACAGAAGCAGAAGGAGGTTCTTAAAGAGACAGAGGCCAATTTCAAGGTGTTTAGAAACAGATATGATGAGAAGTCAAGTTTATTTTCTATTTAAACATATAAACAACATTTTAATAACAACTAAAAGTGACATAGTTACTTTATTATGGTATAGAATTTAAATATATGCCTGAGAAACACATAATATTGCCCCTTTAATGAATGAGAAAACACTCGATATACGCAGGATTTCTGAAACACGTTTAGCACTGCTAACAGACTTTCTGCCTTCCTTGTTTCCATTTAGAAAATTGAAGCGGTGACCTACGTAACCCAGCTGGCCGGCCTTACGGACCACATTCCTGTGGGTCTGAGACTGAATGTGACCATGGACTCTAACTATAATGATGTATGACGGCAAATTCAAACCATCAGAGCCAAACATACACAGTTTTACTGCATGGAGGCAGAACAGTTCTTTCATTGAATACTTGATTTAGTCACTTTAATGACTATGTACTGAACATTGAGTTTATATGTAAGGTGGAAGTGTAATTTAAATACATTTATTGGGAGTTTTACATCAGTTTTTACATTAAATGTTGTTTAGGTATTATTACCTGTATTTTACATGTGGATGTTATTGTCTTTATTTTAGAATATTTTGCTCTTCGAGATATTTTCTAAATATTAAATGTAAGTAATTAATTTCATATTCCGTATTTAGTCTTCAGTGTGCCATTACTGATCATGTACAATAGTGACATAGTTTACATTTTATAAGCAAAATTATCAAATATTTTTGTAATTCCACATTAATGTAAAATATTTAATGATCAGCCATGTGATTTGAATATGCAAAATCAGCTTAGTTAAATTAAGTGTAAAAAACTGTATTTTGTTTAAGTTGTTTATTTTTTAAATGTAATATTTAAATAAAATACTATACGTTCTATGCAATACAACAAAAATAAAATCATTTCTATTGTTTTAACAAATATGTTTAAGATTTGACTGTTTCAAAAGATGTTTTGCAAAGTACGGTTCAGTGTTTTATATAAGCAGTTATCTAAGTTAGGAGCAATCCAAAACAGATTGAAAAATAAATAAACAACTGGGCTTTGTTTGTTTAAATATATGTTTTAAAAAGTAAAAAAGAAAACAACCAGAATTGAAGAAAATTTAAATAATTAGGACTCTGAACTATATTATCCAAGAAACTGGTTGTCAAACCAGTTTTTAATTTTAATTTTCTGCAGTCAGTACCATTTGTCGTCGCGTGAGGGCGCACTTTTTTTTGTCCACACAAACCAACGAAGAAGCGAACTAACCAATCACAGGTCAAGGACGAAAGTCACTTCCTGTTTTCAGACGACTCGTGGATAGAGTTAGCTAAAACAGTGATTGTTTTCTGCTTTTTAAAATCATGAATACTCTTTTTCGTTCTAAGATGCTATTATCAGTTTGTAGATATCGTAGTTTATTAAAACAAACAGGTGATTTTAGATACGTGAGTTCGTTACCTAAAGCCCGGGGCTGTTCTATAGCTCCTGCTTCGTGTCAACAACCACAGWGGCATCACGCAGCTTCACTCAGGTGTCTCTCAGACACAAAAAGACTTTTCTCAGACAACACAGAGTCCGATAATACGGGAACAGTTGAAGAGGAGACTGAAGAAATGAAGGGAAAAAGCTTAAATCACAGTAAGTGCTGCTGGTTCCGATTAAAATAAATCCCTAAAAACACCTGAAAATCACGAGCAGTGAACGCAGGTTTTAAACGTTTAAAAACAAATTTTAAGTCCAGAGCAACATGCAGAGAAAAGTGTTMTTTTCAGGAATTATTTCGCTTTTTTGCAAGTAAACGTTTTATATTTCAGCAGATATTAGTGGCAAAGTATTTTACTATCAAATGCATGTTGCAACTCAGGTAAAAATGCTTTTATTTTTATGCAATTTGACTTTTTTTAAACAATTTCCAACACAAATTAGTTTTTATTTTACATCCCTCCACACATGATTATGTTTTTTAATTAATAAGCTCTCATCTGTAAAATATTAGTAAATGATCAAATTTGCCATTCAGTTTATTTTTTATATTCTTCCTACGTGTACCACCTTGCTCTCTAGGGTAACTCCATTACTAAACTAAGAAGATTTTTATCTTCTATGGAGCTGAAATCAGCATGTTTGAATGTCACTTAAGTATAATCTGAGTGTATRTTATATACAGTATGAAAAATAAATGTTGCAGTGATCCATAAATGTTATTTCATTATAGTGATGTTAACTTATGTCACTGGTAAAGGTGCTCCTGTGGCTCAAATGTACTTTAAATATGTGACCCATCATATGGAAATGAGGATTAAGTCAAATTTGGTCAAAATGATCTAATGGTATTTTCAGATTCCTGCTTTAAAAGCTACATTTTGACACCTGGATCCTTCTGATATCATAAACTTATCCAGAGATACGTCTTGTTGGTTAGGATAATACATTAGTGTTTGGTCTAAAACAGGGCTATTCTACTGGCAGCCCGCGGGCCACATATGGCTGCGAGTGACCAAAGTTCGGCCCGCCAATCGGTTCATTCATCTCTTATGCCCAAATTCCCGGTTTTCTACTTTAATTACTATAAGTTCTTTTGGTTAAACAGACATGTTTGGTATCTACAGAAACGACAGAATCCTGGCTAGAAGCTGGTAAAAACATTTCTATGAACACTCAAGACAGTTAAAAGTACAAGCAGTTGAAGATAAAATGATGAAAGTGAAAATAAAAGTGTTTTAAAAATTTGGCAATCAGAGATGTCAAAATGTTATTTGAGTCAAATAGGAGGCATAATGTGTTCTTTTTGTTTTTGATAATGTGTAATTATCACTACTTTTATAGGGTTCTGTATGTTATATTCATGATTAAATGCAACAAAATAAACTAATTCAAAGGTAACAGATCTTTATAAAACTTGGTTTATTTACATAATAACTTTAATTGCTGGATGTTCGGCCCCTCAGCTGTTGACCTGCAGTAACTGTGGCCCCCGGAGTAATTTAGTTGAATAGCCCTGGTCTAAAACCTAATTTTATGTAAATTTATTGAGTGATTTTTGATGTCAATATAAAGAGGAAACCTCAAATAGTATTTGTATATTAAGATTTCCCAGTTGAAAAGAAATTAAAACATTGTTAGCTCACAGGGAAAAATTCTAAATTTTAAGGCGTTTTTCCTCAAAATCAGGTTTTTTTGTTGCTACTGCTCAAAAGAATTCCTAATTTTTTTAGGATTATATTTCAGACAATTCATTCAACTGATACATTGATAAGACAATTCATTATCTTTTGACAAAATGCAATTTTTTACACACGTTTAAATCAAAACCCTATATCTGCCTGTTTCTCCACATCCCACTTTTGGACTTAATCCTCGTGTCGATGTGTTGGGTCACCTTTGATGTATAAATGGGGTGTGTGGTGGTTCAGTGGTTAGCTGTTGCCTCTCAGTTAAACCATGAAAGTTTTTTTTGTCTCTTTGTGTCCCTGTGATGGACTTATGACCTGTCCAGCATGCCTCTCACCTCTGGAACAGTGACGGCTGGAGACACGCACCAGATCCTCGTGAACCTGAAAGAAGTTAAAAAAGTTTTCCAAACTATTCGTTGACTAAATGAACCACCTTTTTTTTTCTTCTTCAGACTCAGAAATTTTCTCTGTGTCCGTCCTCGTGTCCCTGCTGCGTCAGGAAAACGCCATGGACCTCTGCGTGATTAAACTGCCYGAATACTTCAATTATGCGGATTACTTCGTGGTCGCCACCGGTTTTTCACCGAGACACATCCGTGCCATGGCTCTGTACACCGTCAAAGTGGTAACTAACCTTGTTTATTACGAGATGCGTTCAGTCCAGCCTTTATTTGCTGTTGACGCTCACGKTGGGCTCGGTTCTCCTCCAGTACAAATTCCTGAAGAAAGAAAAAGATCCACATGTGAAGATAGAAGGAAAAGATTCAGAAAACTGGATCTGTATCGACTTTGGTATGTCGCTTTACAAACATCCCACCGGCACATTTATATTGTTTACATAAACTAACATTTCCATCTTTTTTTTTCTTTCTTTGTCTCAGGTGGTATTGTCGTTCACTACATGGTGCAGGAGACCAGAGAACTGTACGAACTGGAGAAACTCTGGACCCTTCGCGCCTACGATGAACAGCTGCAGAAAATCCCATCTGAGAAGCTCCCAGAAGACTTCATTCTCGACGCTGAGCTCACAAAGTGACGTCTCAGAACCGATGGCTTCAGGAGAACTGGGATGAAACAACGCATATTTCTTTATTTTAATACAAGTGAACGTTGCAACATTCAAACCTCCTGTAGTGTAACCGTAGTTTGATGTCTTTAAATAAATCGCTTCTCTTATAAACAAGGTTATTACAAACCATTTAAAGGTGATGTTTTCTACCAGTCCAAACTAGCTGATTGTTTTTTTTTTATTATTATTTCACAGGAAAAGAGATGTTTTTGTTGGTCAAACTCTTACCTGTGCCATGCATTGACCCAGCACTGAAAGCCTGACCAGTAAATTGATAACAAGTGTTCTGCACTTAAAAAAATACTTTAAAGCCTGCAATTCAGAAGTCTCTGACAGGAAACAAACATTTATCTTAAAAGCTCACTGTCGGCTACATCCACACCAAACGTTAGCTCTGTATCTGTAACCGTCYCAGAGTTCTAACCYRTTTTGTGTTGGCTAATGTCGATTCGRTGTGGCGGCCATCTTGAATCGGGTTGTAACTGAAAATCAGTTGCAGACGCACATCCATTGATTYCTTCTTGAAATTTTTAATAAAGTCTAGTGGTTAATGAGATATTTTGCTAACAGACAGAGTTGACAGCAATAATAGGCATGGTGTTAACAGATCACGTGTGATTAGTCTGCGCTCAGATTGTGTGTTGGGATCAGAGGTGTCGGGTAACTAACCCTTYGCAAAAAGTAGTATATGCAAATATCCTTTAAGTATACTAAATTTAAACTTAAAATAAAAAAGTGTACTTCGTTTACTTTTTATGTACTTATCTGAGATATACTTAACCAAGTTTATCTTAAACTATACTTGGCTTGTACTAAAAGTATACTAAAAAATTAAGTATACTTAGGCTATAGTAATGTTTAAAGTTTTGGCCAAGATAAACTTTAGCAGTACACCTTTCACACAGACTGGTTTATTCGTCGTATACAGTATTTCAAGATTAAACTAAAAGTATACATAGAATAGATTACTTTCAGTATACTTCTGAGTATACTTTTATAAACTTGTTGTGGGCCAACTTAGTCCTAGAAGTATACTTGTTAGTAAACTGCTAGTATACTTATATCATTGTACATGGTAAATAAAAGTACACTTAGGGACATACACTTGTATATATTTAGTATACTTGATGACAAGTACTTAAAGCATACTTCTTTTTGGTAAGTTTACAAACATAACAGTATACTTAAAGTATATACTAAAAATGCCTCAATTTAGTATGGACGAGTATTAAATCAATATACTTTCAAGTATACTACAAGTACATGGTGCCCAATATACTTTCAAGTATACTACAAGTACATGGTGCC